AATTAATTGCGTCGCTATTACCTTGGCACCCATCCCGAAAACGAGTTCAATCTTCCATCGTATGCTGGATTCAGGGCTTCCTCTGTTGTGGCTATGATCTGGTTGTCTTTCACAACAGCATTATCATCTATGTTCATAGGCTGTTCGCACACCGTTGGCCTCTGGAAGAATAACACAACTTTTAAACCAGTGCCCCCTGGACAAACGTGAACAAACACAATAGTTTGGATCTTTTACCGTCTACACGTAGAGTGAACAATCTACTGTAAGGAATATAAGAGATGTAAACAAACCTCAGTTGTTGCAGTAGTTGTCCGTGGTCTAAATGTCCTTCTAGTGGTTACAGTCTCAACAGGGCGGCTTGTGGTGTAGACGGTGCTCACCTCTTTGTAATACAATAATGTATCATTATGATCATTATGTTAACATGGCATTATCCTCTTTAACTTAAAAGTATTTCATTGTAATATATGCACGTACACATATAGCAGTGATTGTGAACCACCTAAACACTATATAAAGTTATATAGTTATACAAGTTATAACACAATATAGCTTTTTATTATTGGCCCCATACATATAATGATGCAGTTACTTACCAAGTGGATAACAGCCAAGCAGTTCAAACCTCATGCCGATGCCATTATTCCACGTGACAGGGTGGATACGAAGAACACGAATGGGAATGTCCCTGGTGAACAAGTTAGTAACTGGTGTATCCTGGTCCGTGTTAGCTGTGAATACCTGTTGGATAACATAATTGTTGCAATTAGTAAATTTGAATCAATAACGGGAATTTTGAAGAGCTAATGGAGGTATTGATTGACTAAGGTGAAAACGTGCAGGTGGCCGGGTACATGGAAAGAAAACTCTTTGATTAATTAGTAAAACCACTTGTGAAAAATCAAATCTATAAGCGAGATATGGTTAATTTGAAAATAACTAACTATCCTATGAATTCGTTTCTGAAGAACTAATTTATTTTCGATCTTCCGAAAACTTACTGTAGGGTTTCCATCTGGAGAGTCACTGTAGTATGTGAATGGTGCTCGACCATCAACGCTGTAGGATACCCTGTAGTTGGTGACCCAGTAAGGACGCTCATTGTGTCCCTGTGTTACAACTCCTGAGATCTCCGTTGGTTCGTGAAGGCGAACCTCAATATATTGATTCACATCTTGAATCCTACAATAAAAAAGCAAATGCGTATCTTATCAATAACGACCGACACGGTTCAACAAGATTAGCAAGTTATTAGAACGTTAAAACATACACGCGTACAGATAACACGACAAAAGTCATGTTACCAACAGAAAGGATATATCGATTAAGTCTCTATTACCTTGGAACCCATCCCGAAAGCGAGTTCAATCTTCCATCATATGCTGGATTCAGGGCTTCCTCTGTTGTGGCTATGATCTGGTTATCTCTCACAACAGCGTTATCGTCTATGTTCATGGGGTATTCGCACACCGTTGGCCTCTGAAAGAATAACAAAACTTTAAAAAATGACATATATACAGTGACACCTGGCAAATGTGAACGAATACATGTACACTGGCATATTTTACCCACCTAGTCGGTAGGTCCTAGTGATGCGATCCCTTATACTGGGACGTAAAAAGATGCTATAACAAAACCTCAGTTGCTTGCATATGTTGATCTCGACCGTGGTCTAAATGTCCTTCTAGTTGGTTACAGTCTCAACAGAGGCGGCTTGTGGTTAGACGGTGCTCACCTCTTTGTAATACAATAATGTATCATTATGATCATTATGTTAACATGGCATATATCCATCTCTTAATACTTAAAAGATATTTCATTGTAAATATATGCACGTACACATATAGCCAGTGATTGTGAACCACCTAAACACTACTTACAAGTATATATATACAAGTTATACACACACATATACCTGTTTTATTACTTGGCCCCATACAACTATAATGATGCAGTTACTTACAAGTGGATAACAGATATACGCACGCACGACCTTACAGCTTCAACTGTGAATTCATTTAGGTTTATCATCATCTTATTTATGTTAACCTCTATATATAATACTTATTGTGTTCATTTTCACTATAAAAATTACACGACCTATATTAATTCAAGAATGTATCCTATATCGGGAGTTCGTCCAGATTATACTTTTGTTTTATAAACATGGTACCGTCGGATGGTTTGCTCAAAATATTAAAACTGCTTTATATATAGGAAACGAGTCACGTAGGTGACTCAGGTTCTCGCGAAGTTCCGCGCTTGTGGCTTATTAATTGTTCGTTTACGTTGTGTGTAGGATGTATAGCTAGTGGCATAATTACTAATGCCCCCGTCTGGGTCCTTGTGAACAGCAATCGCTGCGCTCCGTGGGTGAACTCGACAAGACTTTCACTGTGTAAGTTAAAACTGCTTTAAGCTTGAAAATGTGTGTAGCTTGGCAGCGCCGCGTTGTAATATATATTATAATGTGCTGGTAACAGATTGTGTGTTGTGTGCAATGAGCTAAATTTAAATTAATAACATTCGGCTGTTGAATTTGAGTGATGTATGTTAGATGCTGGTGGTGGATGTGTTTGTGTTGTGTCGTTGTCGTGTGTGTGGGTATTGATTTGACTTAAGCGTTTTTGTAGTGTGTGGAGTTGTGTGATAGCAGTGCTGTGCGTGGTGGCGTGCGTTGCGTGCGTGCGTTGCGTGCGTGCGGCGCGCGGTGTGTGTGTGTGCGCACTTTGGCATCATTCTGCATCGCTGTGCTGACTCATCATATATCGATTGGTTACTTGTTAGCGTAATAATGAGCGCGTACAGTTCATAGTCTGACCCTAATGCTTATGTATATAATAAGCTAAAAATCGCGAATTAATTATCCGTGTCGTATTGTATTAACTTTTTAACATTCGGCACTACACACACTCACGCTGCCGACACGCAGTGTGTAGCGCACGCATCGAACACTACAGCGCAGCCACACACCACACGTCACGCACGGCACACACACACCACACACACATCTCACGCATCGCACTGCCCGCACGCACGCACTCACCACAAACACACACACATACACACATACAACGACACATACATACACCCATACACACGCCGGCACGCTCAGGCATCGCACGCACACACGCACGCAGACATGCACGGCACACACACTACGCACACACACACACAGCACACACGAACACAACACCAGTGCACACAACGACCGCCATCACCACGCACACAACACCCACTCACACACACACACACACCAAATTTATTTATATATAGACTAGCGTAAGGACAGGACTTCAATTCTTGATAAATATTTATATAACCGACTCGTTTCTTTTAGAGCAACGTGTTTTCACTTTCTTTGCCATGCTGAACTTAACGTGTAGATCTATGTCATCGTTTTTATGGTCAGGTGAACAGTGAATGATCATGGGTTGTCACAAACCTTGAATGTGCCCGATTTAAAGGAAACTGCCGAAAGTAATTAAGAATGGTTCTATCTATGGTAAATTACCCCATGGGAAACACGATTCTTAGTAAGTTTGTTTATGAATCATAACACAACAAACGAGCTTGTTTGCGTATGGGGTTATAAAGTTCTCCCCCAATGGGTAAGAAAGAATAAAGTTCAAAACCCACTCGTGGATGAAGCCAACATATGCGGTTAATAGGTTTTGAAAATGATAATAGAGCCAACTATCCTAAATTCGTTTCGTGAAGAACTAATTTATTTTTGTTATTATCTACTCTTGGGTTCGCACTCTCCGCTTATATCCATGTGAACGCGAGAGCTTTCTGTTGCCCAATTATCAGTAAAATTGATCATATATATGGGAAGATGGGGTTTCCATCTGGAAGCCGCAAGTCACTGCTACGTTATACGTGAATGGCGGCTTGGGTTGCCTTTTTCCATGACGGGATTTGATAAAATAAACGTTTGCCTTTCTCGGTGAGACTCGCATAACGTCGATCACGAAATTCATCTAATCGTGGGCGGCTTCAGCGTTGAATTTTATGTTTGGTCGTGTAGCTGATAGATTTCCTGTTGTGGTCCATCAACGCTATAGGATATCCCTGGGTGAGCCGCGATCGGGCAAATGCTGGTGACGGTTGGTTGAATGCGAGTGGTTTAGGTAAAGCACCCGCTGCGTACCTTGCTACACGGATTGCTGCTCTGCTGAGTGAGCAAGGATGCCCAGATATGGACGCTCATTGTGTCCCCATGCTGCATGCTAGCAAGGATCGTGTCTGGCATGCTAGCAGGGCATGGTGTCTTATCGCTAGCAGGGATGGTGTCTTGCAGTGCTAGCAGGTTATGCGTGTCTGCATGTAGCACGGCGATGGTGTGGCTGGTCTGCCATGTAGCAGTGGATGGTGTCTGCCATGCTTAGCTGTAGATGAATACAAAGCTTGTTCCCTGTCTGCATGGCATAGCAGGGGATGATGTACTTGCTCCAGATTGCTGCAGGTTTGGGTAATACTGGTGGTGTACGTGCTCCGCGTGAACTACGTAACGAAGATTGGTTATAGTTGATTTACATCGTGAATGCCTTACCATAGTGAAAAAGTAGCAAGACTAGCAAATGGAGTGGTGTCTGCACTGTAGCAGGCGGATTAGTGTTTAATCAATAACGACCGCGGTGTCTGCATGCTAGGCAGGGATGGGTGTTGATGACTGCGGGATGCTGATGCTGCATGCTAGCAGCCGAGGACGCGGATGCTGTCTGCATGCTAGAGGGATGCTCTTCGATGCTACGAATTGCTAGCAGGAGGATGGGTGATTGCTATGTGCTTAAGCCAAGGGATGGTGTCTGGCATGCTAGCAGGTAATGCGTGTTCTGCTGCTAGCAGGATTGGTGTCTCATGCTAGCAGGGATGGTCGTCTGCATGTAGCAGGGTTGGTGTTCTGGCATGCTAGCAGGGACTGGTGTCTGATGCTAGCAGGATAGGTGGTCTGAGTTGCTATGAGGGATAGTCTGATCTGCTTATGCTAGCAAGGGAATCGGGTCTAGAACTGTTTTGATTACTCGATGACTAACGCAAGAACGGGATGGTGTCTGCATGCTTAGCCTATGGGATTGGTGTCTTGCATGTAGAGGGATGCGTGTCTGCATGCCCTAGCAGGATCGCTGTCCTGCATGTAGCTGTCAGGACTAATGCTGTCTGCATGCCTAGCAGGGGAATCTGACACTGACGTGCTGGACATAGCTAAAGTCCGATGTGATGGTTACCCAACAGAAAGGATTATTATCGATCTAAATGTCTGCACGTCTATTTGCTAGCATGCGTGATAATTACTCTGTCCTTAAGCCCCAAAATTGCTCCGCAGGGATTGAGATGTATGGCGATGTCTACTCAAAGTTATGCAGGGATGGTGTCTTGCTACTCAGCTAGCATCGGAGATTGCTGTCTGCATGCTAGCGGCGGATGTGTCTGCATGGCTTGGCAGAGATGGTGTCTTAGCATTGGCTGCAGGGATTGCTGTCTGATGCTTAGCAGGGATGGTGGTCTGCCATGCTGAGGGATTGGTGCTGTCATGCTAGAGGGATTGGATTGTGTCCTTGCATGCTAGCAGGGATGTGTCGTCGCCATGCGTAGCGCAGGGATGTGGGGTCTGAATGCTATGCACGGTGATGTCTTGTTGTCGTGCTGAGCTCAGGGATGCTGTCCTGAATGCTTTGCCAGGGAAATTGGTGTCTATGATGCTGCCAGGGTATCGCTGTTGCAGTGCTAGGCAGGGATGGCTTCGCCGTGCTTGTCTGAGTTGCTGCTAGGGGTACTCGCTGTCGCACTGCTAGCAGGGATATGCTGTCTGGCATGCTAGCAGGGCTGGTGTGTTGCTTGACATCGCTAGCAGGGATGCTGTTTCTGATGTTGCAGGGGATGCGTGTCTGCATGCGTAGCAGGGGATCGGTGTCGTGCACTGCTCGCAGGGCGAGATCTGTGCTGCGCATGCTCGAGGTATTGGTGATACTGGTCATATGCTCTAGGCGGGGGAGAATTGGTGTCTGTTCATTTAGCGTAGCTAGGTTAGATTGGTGTTTGACATGTCCTAGAGGGATTGCGCTGTCTGCATGTGCTTAGCGGGGATGGGGTGTCCCTAGCTACTGCCTTAGCCTTGGGCACAACGGCAGCGTTATCTGTAGCATTGGCGGTCTATCGTTTCATGCGAGTATCTCGCACACTCTGGCTGATTCTGCATGCTGCTAGGGATTAGGTGTCTGCATTGCCTAGCGGTATTGGTGTTCAGTCATGGCTGGCAGGGATAGGTTGTCTGCTCAGTTAGGCAGCGGGATGGTGTTCTTGCATGTACGCAAGGGATGGGGGTCTGCATGTAGCAGGGGCATGTCGTCTGCTGCTGCAGGGAGTGAGAGTCTTACATCGTAGCAGTGGATGGTGCTCTGTGTCATGCCTAGCAAGGAAATGGTGTGTCTTGACGCTGCTCAGCCTCAGGATGTTGACTGCAATAGGCTAAAGCTATGAACGGATAAAACGTGTCTTAGAACAAATGATAGCATGAACGATGATGCTGTTGCTATGCTAAGCAGCGTATGGTGTTCTGCATACTGCTAGCAGGGATGGGTGTCCTGCATCGCTCGCAGGTATGCTGTCTGGAAGTATTGCATAGCCAGTGGTTGTTGTCTGCGCATGCTAGCAGGGAAAGTGACGGTGTCTTGCGTGACATGCCTGTCCAAGATAGGCGATCTGGTGGTCTGTCCATGCTTGCAACGGGTCAGAGAACTTGAGGTGGTCCTGCCCCATGTAGAAAGGGATGAAGTGTTACATTACACTGGATGATTTACCATCCTAGTCGCGTAGTTTCTTTAAAAAATGACATATATACAGTGACACCTGGACAAATGTGAACGAATACATTACACTGGATATTTTACCACCTAGTCGTAGAGTGATGGATCCCCTATACGGGACGTAAAAGATGTAAACAAACCTCAGTTGTTGCAGTCGTCGACCGTGGTCTAAATGTTCTTCTAGTAGTTACAGTCTCAACAGGGGGGCTTGTGGTGTAGACGGTGCTCACCTCTTTATAATGCAATATAGAATTATTATATTAATCTATTAGCGCATTAGCATATACAACTTAAAATATTTAATTGTATCATATAAACGTACACATAGTAAGGTATGTAAACCACCCACACACTATAAGCTATGAGTCTATATAGTCCAATATCTTACCAGAAGAGTTGTATTTTGTGATGAATATGCATTTAATATGGTTAGGGGGTCTCTCAGCATAGATTTTTTGTAATTAATTGTTATCAGTACACCTGCGTTTATAATTAGAAGCGCGCCCTAGCCTGTAGGGTGCAAAACGGCTACTTCGATCACCCCTTCCCGTATTTCCGATTGTCTCCCCTGTCCCTCGCTCAGCCTAATTCTTCTTCTACCGCCCCTCAGCTATCTTCCCTGTCGCTTTTCCTCAGTCTCCTACCCCTCTCTCTCTCTCACAGCAAGCTATATCATGCAGTTTTCTTTAGTCCGTACTGCCCGCCTGAAACGGTGCTCGCGCATGCGCAATATCTCCCGAAAAGAATCATATTTTGCAAAGAGTATGCATTTAAAATGAAGAGGAGTTATCCTAGCATGGATTTATATAATAACATTCTATCATTAGACATCCCTTAATAAATAGGAAGAAGACCTTGCATGTAAGCTGACCACTGCATATACCAGTCAATACATAATCTGGCTATATTAGTGTGTTGACGCATGCGCAATATCTTACCAGAGGAGATATATTTTGTGATGAATATGCATTTAATATGGTTAGTGGGGTATCTCAGCAAAAATTTCTGTAATTAATTGTTATCAGGACACCTGTGTTTATAATTTAGAGAGCGCCCTAGCCTGTAGGGTGCAAAACTACTACTTCATCCCTTCCCGTATTTCCCATTGTCTCCCCTGTCCTTCGCTCAGCCTAATTCTTCTTCTACCGCCCCTCAACTATCCTCCCTGCCGCTTTTCCTCAGTCTCTTACCCCTCTCTCTCTCTCTCTCACAGCAAGCTATATTATGCAGTTTTCTTTAGTCCGTACTGCGCGCCTGAAACGGTGCTGGCGCATGCGCAATATCTCCCGAGAAGAATCATATTTTGCAAAGAGTATGAATTTAAAATGAAGAGGAGTTATCCTAGCATGGATTTATATGATAACATTCTATCGGTAGACGTCCCTTAATAAATAGGAAGAAGACCTTGCATGTAAGGTGACCACTGCATATACCAGTCAGTACATAATCTGGCTATATTAGTGTGTTGACGCATGCGCAATATCTTACCAGAGGAGTTATATTTTGTGATGAATACGCATTTAATATGGTTAGGGGGTATCTTAGCAAAGATTTCTGTAATTAATTGTTATCAGTATACATGTGTTTATAATTAGGAGAGCGCCCTTGCCTGTAGGGTGCAAAATGGCTACTTCACCCCTTCCTGTATTTCCGATTGTCTCCCCTGTCCCTCGCTCAGCCTAATTCTTCTTCTACCGCCCCTCAGCTATCTTCCCTGCCGCTTTTCCTCGGGCTCTTACCCCTCTCTCCCACAGCAAGCTATATTATGCAGTTTTATTTGTCCGTACTGAACGCCTGAAACGGTGCTCGCACATGCGCAATATCTCCCGGGAAGAATCATATTTTGCAAAGATTATGCATTTAAAATAAAAAGGAGTTATCCTAGCATGGATTTATATGATAACATTCTATCAGTAGGCATCCCTTAATAAATATGAAGAAGACCTTGCATGTAAGGTGACCACTGCATATACCAGTCAGTAAATAATCTGGCTACATTAGTGTGTTGACGCGTGCGCAATATCTTGCCAGAAGAGTTATATTTTGTGATGAATATGCATTTAATAGGGTTAGGGGGTATCTCAGCATATATTTCTGTAATTAATTATTATAAGTACACCTGTGTTTATAATTAGGAGAGTGCCCTAGCCTGTAGGGTGTAAAACTACCACTTCACCCCTTCCCGTATTTCCCATTGTCTCCCCTGTGCCTCGCTCAGCCTAATTCTTCTTCTACCGCCCCTCAGCTATCTTCCCTGCCGCATTTCCGCAGTATCTTACCCCTCTCTCCCACAGCAAGCTATATCATGCAGTCTTCTTTAGTCCATATATACTGCACGCCTGAAACGGTGCTCGCGCATGCGCAATATCTCTCGAGAAGAATCATATTTTGTAAAGGGCATGCATTTAAAATGAAGAGGAGTTATCCTAGCATGAATTTATATGATAACATTCTATCAGTAGACATCCCTTAATAAATAGGAAGGAGACCTTGTATGTAAGGTGCCCGCTGTGTATACCAGTCAGTACATAATTTGGCAACGTTAGTGTGTTGACGCATGCACAATATGATACTTTTAATATTGGTCCCATACATGTAATGACGAATGTACTCACCAAGAGGATAACAGCCAAGTAGTTCAAACCTCATGCCGATACCATCATTCCATGTGACAGGATGGATACGAACAACACGGATGGGAATGTCCCGGGTGAACAAGTTAGTAACTGGTGTATCCTGGTCCGTGTTAGCTGTAAATACCTGGGTAAGATAATTGTTGCAATTAGTACATTTGAATCAGTAACAGTTAAAGAGCTAGTGGAATTATTGATTGATTAGGATTTAAACGTGTAGGCGAGTACATGGAAAGGAAACTCATTGGTGTATTAGTAAGACGCCCGATGAAAAACTCCGAATCTATGATCGCCATTTTGCTTCGTTATTTGAGAAATAACTAACTATCCTAAATTCGTGTCTGAAGAAATAATTTTCGCTCTTCAGAAGACTTACTGTAGGGTTTCCATCTGGGGAGTCACTGTAGTATGTGAATGGTGCTCGACCATCAACGCTGTAGGATACCCTGTAGTTGGTGACCCAGTAAGGTCGCTCATTGTGTCCTTGTGTTACAACTCCTGAGATCTCCGTTGGTTCGGGAAGGCGAACCTCAATATATTGATTCACATCTTGAATCCTACAATAAAAAAGCAAATGCGTAACTCATCAATCGAGTCCGTTATACCTCAACACGATTAGCAAGTTATTAGACCGTTAAAACACCTACACGTACTAAAAAAGATATATATAAACAAATATCACTTTAATATATCATCAGACGGCGAATATAAATTACGTGTGTATTACCTTGGCACCCATCCAGAAGGCGAGTTCAATCTTCCATCATATGCTGGATTTAGGGCTTCCTCTGTTGTGGCTATGATCTGATTGTCTCTCACAACAGCGTTATCGTCTATGTTCATGGGGTATTCACACACCGATGGCCTCTGGAAGAATAAAGAAAATTACACATCTGACGTATAGACATAGCCACCTGGACTTATGAATTATGAATTCAACAGCATATATAGTTTATCATCTATTCTTAGAGTAAAAAAATCTGCTATTTTTTAGAGCGAAGGGGCGTATAGGATCTAAACAAACCTCAGTTGCTGCAGTCGTCGTCTTTGGTCTAAATGTTCTTCTAGTGGTTGCAGTCTCAACAGGGCGGTTGGTGCTGTATATGATGTTAGCCTCTTCATGGCGTAGTGAAACAAGCATTTATTATGTTAGCAGAATTATCGTTAACGAACTGAGCTACATCAGTAATAATTGTATATAAATTTTGAACATTCGAACAGCATATAAGGCACTTCCTGCTCCTCCCACACAATAAGTATTATTGTATTGGCTGTCGCAAGACGAATGTACTTACCAAGAGGATTGCAGCCAACAAGTTCGAACCTCATGCCAATGGCATCCTTCCATGTTACCGGGTGGATACGAAGGACACGGATGAGAATGTCTCTAGTAAATAGGTTTGTCACGGGCGTTTCCTGATCCGTGTTAGCTGTAAACACCTGTGGGGCAAAGGTTATGCATAAACTTATAGCTCTCATTGTGTTTAATGGGAGATTTGGTTGATTGGGTTCACAAACCAATCACGTGGCAATAAAGAGCGCGTGGCATTGGCTTCAATGACCTATTCTGTCATTAAAAATACTTACTTTAGGATTACCATCAGGTGAATCACTATAGTAGCTGGTGTCTCGTCCATCAACGCTGTAGGATACCCTGTAGTTAGTGACCCAGTAGGGAAGCTCCTTGTGTCCCTGTGTTACAACTCCTGAGATCTCCGTTGGCTCATTAAGGCGAACCTCAATATATTGGTTCGAATTGTGAATCCTGGATTAAAGTTATGGAAATAAAAATGAAAGAATATTCATATTAATTGTGTATTAAAACCCAAAAATATCGGAAAACATTTAAACGTCGGCTAAAAAAAAGTTAACCCAAGTAAATCTATAGTATGTCCTTATTACCTTGGCACCCAGCCAGAAGGCGAGTTTAATCTTCCATCATACGCTGGGTACAAGTCTTCCTCTGTAGAGGCTAGCATCTGGTTGTCTCTCACCACAGTAGTATCGTTTATGTTCATGGGCAGTTCACACACAGATGGTCTCTGCAAACAAAAATTACGATTACACGCGATTAGGCGCGTTCACACTGGCGGGAATTAGCGGGATGCAAATCTCGGTTTTTGCATCGCGATCGAAATCTCAAGATTTTTACAAGTGTGAACGCAAAAATCTCACTACGTATCGCGATCAGCATCGCGCTGCAAATCGCACTTTAGACTGCGATATTTGGGAATAGATTAATTGCATAGCGCGATTAATTGCACCGCGGCGTGTGTGTGAACGCTCGCGCAAATAATCCCGGTATTTTCTATCCCATCATACGATGTGTTTACGTAAATACGTGCAAGATCGTAGAGCCTAGCTACGTTTAACGTACAGAGCTAGAGTAGCATACAGTTAACGTAATAGAGCTAGAGTAGCATACGGTTAACCGTAACAGAGCTAGAGTAGCATACGTTAACGTAACAGAGCTAGAGTAGCATATTACGTTAAACGTAACAGGCTAGCATACTACCAGAGCGATGTGCCACTGCTTCATGTGAATCGACACCGAACTCGTAATCCCCGGTAGATACATAATTCTGCGCGCGCGCGACCGAAGAGTTTTATATTCCCGGCTTGATTATCTAATGGTGTGTATTCTGTTTCATTTAATTCGATTCAATTCATTCGATGCGTGAACGAATCGATCGATCAGCATTTCGATGCGTGAATCGCATGATTCGATGCATCATTCGAATCACGGAATCGAATCATTCGGATTCACGCCATCGCAATCATTCGATTCACGGCATCGAATCTCGATCACAGCATCGAATATTCGATGCATCATTCGATGCGTGAATCGAATGATTCGATGCGTGAATCGAATGCATTCATGCGTGAATCTGAATGATGCATCGAATCTTCGATTCCGCATCGAAGTCATTCGATTCACGATCGAATGATATGCCTACGAATGATTCGATGCGTGAATCGAACTGATTCATGCGCGAATCGACATGATTCGATGATCATCTCGAATTCACGCATCGATGATTCGATTCACGCATCGAATCATTCGATTCACGCATCGAATCATTCGATCGCATCATGCGCATTGCCGTGATCGAATGGATTCCGATGCCGAATCGAACTGATTACGACTGGCATCATCGATTCACGCATCGAATCATTCGATGCACGCATCGAATCATTGATTCACGCATCGATCATTCGATTCACGCATCGAATGATTCGATGCCATCATGCGATGGCGTGAATGAATCATTCGACGTGCGCTGACTTATCGAATCTCGATGCATCATTCGATTCAACCGCAGTCGAATGAATTCGATTCACGCATCGAATCATTTCGATTCACGCATCGAGTTCATTCGATTCACGCATCGAATGAGTTCGATGCAGTCATTCGATGGCGTGAAATCGAATGAGTCGATGCGATGATCAGACATGCGACTGCTGTGAATCGAATGATGCATCGAATCTTCGATTCGCGATATCGAATCATTCGATTCACGATCGAAATGCATGCCATCGCAGATGATATTCGATGACCGTGAATCGAATGACTTCGATGCGTGAATCAAATAAATGCGATAACATCGAAATGTTTATATGTGATAAAATGCGAATGTTATATGTGATAAATCGAATGTTATATGCGATAAAATCAACCATAAAACAAAAATCGAATTATGACACAAACAACATGCCATAGATATCAGGCATGCGCAGTTCGATTAATAGAATTATCCCGCTCGGCGATTAGCGAGATATTTCCGCCTGTGTGAACAAGGGCACAATTATCTCGGTATTTCCATCGCGATTAGCATCGCGGTTTTTCTTGTGTGTGAACACGCCTAATATTATAAGGAAAAGATTCTTAATTCAAACAGCCAGAGAATACTCCCGTATTCATTACACGAACCTCAGTTGTCGCAGTCGTTCTTTGTGGCCTCAGTGTTCTTCTTGTTGTCAGCGTGCTGATAGGACGTGCTGTGGTGGTTCCAGGCGTCGCCACGACTACAGAATCACAATATATGAACATTCACACTCCAAAGAAGGGCGAAACCTCTTTTAGCCAGCAGAGATTTAGCTAAGGAGTGTTTCTCATATAAATAAGACAAACAGGTGAAGAGAAGAAGTAAAATTATGCTAGCCTTAACAACTACTGTCATTTGCTTCACGCGATAAAGAGCCAGTTTAATGACGACAACACTGACACTTACTGCACCCATACAGCTCCATACGTAGCCCAATGCCTTTCTTCCATGTGAGCGGGTGAAGACGCACTGCGCGAACCGCGATTTCTCGATTGAACCAGTTCGTGACGCCTGTATTTTGATCATCATTAGCTGAGAATACCTGAAAAGCACGTTAAAATAACGCAGATGCCTTTGTTAGATTCAATATGATTATACAATAAAGAATGTTATGCCTTCATACTTGGTAAACCGGTAGTATTAGTTTACGTATAGGCAAAATGTCGCATTCGCCATGATGAGCACACACATAGCGTTTTCCTTTGCTTGCTTAATTAAGCCCGTTTCAAGCACATTTCATAAAGCAAACATGGCATTCACAATGGTATTCAGATGAATTATCACCAATTAAGGTAGCGGACCAAGCGGCCACGGACGAGCAAGGGGGTGGCGAATGGGTGGTAAGAAAAAGAAATAGTAGAAAGGTTAAGAGAGATATAGGGCGCTGTGAGAAGATAAACAGCGGGAGAAAGAGAGGGATAGATTAATGAAGAGAGTGAGTAAAGATATCATCTGACGTACTTTGGGGGTGAGGTCTGCAGATTCCCTGTAGTATATAAATGGCTCCAATCCAGTTACGCTGTATGACACTTGGTAGCCAGTGACCCACTCATCGAAGGTCGCATGTCCCTGAGTTTCTACACCAGTGATCATTGTCCGCTGGTCAAAGCGGACTTCTATATACTGCTGATCATCTTTTACTCTGAAACACGAGTAGTATACATTTAGCATCGTAGAGCTGTGGCATAATTCGCGTTCATTTCGCTGCTTGTTGATTACTCTAGGATAACATGCATGGAAAATACATTGATTCATTGACACACCTCATGAGGTTCTCCCGTTTATATTCATCAATAGTGTAAGAACTGGTAGGGGTTTGTCTAAAAAAAAATCTAAGGAATCATATGTGGCACTCGCTACTCGCGTGTCACAATGTTACCTAGTATGGTTCGTGTCAAAATTTGGACACATATGATATGTAAACATAGCTGCGCAGAGTATTACTGCTTGGTGTTAAAATTGCAAGAGTAACCCGACAGGTTTTATCCCAACAAGGCAGGTTTTAAACATGCGCGTGCACTGTAAGTTAGTATTTGACATAGGACCTAACTGCTACTACTTGCCATAATATTAGGACATTTACGTTATGTAAGTTATACTAGTCCCAGTCATCCCCCTCATTCCTTTATTTGCAAACAAGCTTATATCAGGAATTAATTGATTGATCAATGATCCGACTAGGGCAACAATTAAGTGTACGAGGTACCTCGGTCGCCATCCGGTGCGCCCATCTAATCTTCCTAGATGTGGTGGATAATTCTTCTTTGATGTGCTTGCTGTAATCTGGTCGTCCCTGATTTCTCCATCATCACGAACGTTCATAGAACTGGCACAGGTCTGGAAAGATTAAAATAACTCAAAATCTAAGAAAAACTCTCAAGCCAATGTTTGTGTTCTATCACTAGTATTGTTTAGTCCGTTGCCAGTATGACGTCGGATTACGTAATGATTCCTGATACGTGTCAACAATAATGAAAACAACATCAACAATAGTGAGGTGTTATAACAATAATTAATACCATGGACTAACAATATCGTTAATACCCACCAGAGGAGGTGTGTTCGCCGTTGTTGTCTGACTTGTCACTGTCGACTGTGTGGTCCTTCGCGTTTGTGTTGAGTAGGTGGTTTTGGTGAGAGTAGATGTTCCTTCTGTCGTCGTCAGTGTCTCTCTGGTGACCAATGTCGTCTCCAGGCAGTTGCAGTAGACAGAGATCTCGAAGTCGGGACACCGGGGGCCAAATACCTGTTCCTCGTTGATACAGCGCAATCCCAGCAATACATCACAGCGGACGTTGTAGCCACTCACCAAGTGGCTGATTTTTGTACCAGCCTGGTAATACAAAGGGAAAACCAAATTTTAAATGAATTTCTTATGTCAAACAAAAAAATTGGGCTAAAACAACAAAAAACCTACACATTTTAGTAGAACGGGCCATCTCAAGGGTACCTACGTAGAGTAACTTATGCTAAAACTTCTTAATATTTTTTTCGTATAGAAAGATGCTATTTTATAGTAAAGCATCATTCACACCGGTGAACTCGGATAAAGATATGATATATTCTAATACTACATCTAAAGCTACTACCCGAAGGCATGCATACACAACCCGCTACACTTACGACGCGACATTGGATGTCTTCCATGTTTTCTACTTGGCACAATGGGAACTGCTGCCTCAGTTTGTTAATGTCCTCAATGTCTCCCAACGGGTGAACTTCTGCATCGTTGGAGTTCATCCATTCCGACCAGCCATGCTTCAGACAGCTCACGATGTTACTTCCAGATGTTGTAGTCGTGGGTGAGAGGGTGGTAGAGGGACGAGTCAGTGGAGCTGCAATAAAAGCTCTCTCGTGAAAAAAACTACCGCTCATCTTTTCATATAGCTGATGTCGATATTTCATTATTGAGTAGTTATGTATATTACATATATTGCATACATGTAAGGATACGATCGCAATGTTATTAGTACCCAGCTTAACAGAAATTATTGGTAGGTTAGAAAGGATATTGAGTTTCATTTGGCTAACGGACGAATAACGCTCCAACTACGTCGACACTTGAGCATGACTTTGACAAAGTCAGATTACGTACGGTTGCACTGGCAAAAGAAGCGCACTTCGTAGTTTTCACACTCGTTGTCGTACTGCTGATTATTAAGACAGGAGAACCCAGTGTCGGCGTCACAAGTCACTTGCTCTCTCGTCAGGTCCGACGGCACTTGGTCGTCTCGTGTTCGACACTCGACATCAATGGGTAGTTCGCAGAATGCGTATTCCAATCTACAAAAGATGTAAATCTCATCATTGTCATCTGATAGCGATAGAATAATCTTAGCATGTCAATTAAACCGCTTCGTTATAGAAGCGATATTCCATCAATAACCGTAAATTCCCACGTGTTCTAACCTCCACATATCGTAATTTACTCAATAATAGCATATAAAGCACTAATCTGTTCAGAATTATACTTCTTTTAAGAATATTATTTTTCCATAAATAGAAGAAATTACGCATGAATCATAAGATTGGAATGTATTGCTGAAATGTGAATTCGACAGTTGTTCAGGAGGCGTCAGCAGTGACATGACTGAGTAATTTTTTTAGCAGCGCAGAATTTTTAGCAGTCGTCCCATATTGTTTGTTAACGCGTTTAATATTTATGGATGAGCAGGCAAAGACTTAAGCAAGAGCTAAACTTACGCTTGTCGGTACATTAATATCTATCCAGGGGCGTAGGCTGAGCAAATGCCTGGGGAGGGGGCAAAATTTCATGACTCAACTGTGTAAATGACGGTCTTAATCGACATCCACAGTGTGGTAGGGGTGGATCTGAGACAATGCTTTCATGGATAAGTGTCCAAAAAAATCACGTAAGGGTTATTTACGAATAATAGCTAAATTTATTTTTTAATTTTGCCCCAAAATCTTGGGGCAGCTGCCCCTCTTATCCCCCCCCCCGCCAAACAGGCCATGGCCCTACTTTCTATCTATTTACCTGAGTTGACTAATGAGTTCGTTGTCACCAACGCCGATTTGTCGCTCGAATGGCTGATTGTCGAATGGCGTATCGGAGTCCATCCACTGCGTCCAGCCATCCACACATTCTGGAGATAGAGTCGAAGTCGGCTCCTTCTCAAGCTCTGTAGTCACGGTAACAGGTGGCCTCAGTGTTGTCATGTCATCTGAGAATAGACCAGCAATAAAATTAGTGCTGCGCCAGGCACAAATTACTTAAAATAAGCAGAAAACGATAAGCATTAGAATCCCCCACACAAAATAAAACACACAAGGCATACGTTATTTGTAATGTATGCAGGAATATATCACTAGTCACATTGCTCTTGACATTTATTTAAGACAATGATCCACTAGTTTATTCGTCTAGATACCACTTTCATTCTTATAAACTCAGCGCCCGTTATTCGTGCATATATGGACCGTGAGCAAGACAAAAATTAAGGAGTAAAAAATTACAAAGCAAATAATATATGAAGTTTAATAATAATGATATAAGCGCTATATATGCACGCACTGTTGTTGTTGCAGCCAATTAGTTCAGCTCTCATGGAAATGCCACCATTCCACTCGACTGGCACAATACGGATGTGTGCAGCGCCAATGTCCAGAAGGAACGTGTTTGTCACAATAGTGTCGCGGTCAAAGTTAGCCTCGAATATCTAGAATTAGAACAGTGTATTAGTAGAATATGAACGTGAATTCACACCATCAGCTCTACATAAAATGTCGCTGCTGTATGTTTGTATAGTTTAACCAGGGCCGTAGCTAACTCATTTTGTCTAGATGGATAGCCGCGCGCGGTTTGTGTTCTGGATAGTTGACCGTGCACCACTGCCCATTTATTTTAAGCGCGGCCGAAAAGTATTATCTTGGCTGGCAACGCGACCCGAGTTAAAGTGACACGAGTGTCATCACCCGTATACAATAGCATGGGAAAAGGATTGTGGCGTGATGCTGCGACAAAAGTGAAGTTTTTAGAGCGGATTTTGATATGCAAATCTCTTCCGGGCATACCCCTGTCCGCTTTAAGCTTGAAAGTTTGGCCAAAATGTGTAATCTTGGCTGGCAACGCGACCAGCGACATGAGCGACATTCCCCATGTACATTAGCATAGGATTGTGTCGGGATGCTACAGCTAAAGTGAAATTATTAAAGCGAATTTTGCTTTGCACATCTCTCCCGGGCACAAGGGTAGTTTGTCGTTGCCGCTGCTAAGGCATGGGAGAAACTGCCCTTCTGCCCCCACCGCTAGTTATGACCCTGTTAACAGATGACAAAACATATGTCTTCAACAGCAATACTTAGGAGTAAAACTCATACACGTACCTGCGGTGCAACGCCTGACACTGATACATATTGAAAGTTGCTTCCATCCACACTGAATTGTACCAAGTATTTAGTAACCCATTCGTCAGCAACCGGGCTACCTTGTACTAGTATTCCCTTGATAGTCATCACGTTTTCAAACGAGACCTATGGAAAGGGTAATGTCAGTTAACTAACGCAGTTAGTTTTAGACCCATTCTACTAACAAACTTTCATTTGTTATCAAAAAGTATTTTATCGCAAAGATTATTTTGCAGACAAAAAGCATGTCTACCCGCATTTTCAGGTACGCTAAAATCTAAGAGCTGCTTGTTATGCATGCGCTCCTATTTTATGTGCGTAATAATGGTGAAATGTTAATGCCTCTCTTCTGTACACAGATGGCCTTTGCAATTCAAACGTCTTGACACCCAATGTAACCGAAACTCCCATATGCCATATAATTATGATGGGTATACCTGTATCCATTGTTGCCTATCGTCAACAGCTGGTGACCATGCTCCTTTTGTGTTATTTACTTCAATGTAACTCAGTTGAGAACGACGTTTGAGGCTACTACTTGATAACGTCGTATCTGTCGCAAATTGACTTGCGATGTTCAAAGGTGACTCGCATGCTGCAAGAACGAATAAATACAACATATTAAAACCGTTTGTATCATGTGAATAAAGGCCGCCGCGCACAGTGAGAATTTGGCTCAGCGCACTTGGCGCGTGCCGAATTCTCACCATGTGCGGGGGCCTTAAGACATCGAGCATACACTAATCAGGGCATATAGATATATTATGTAACAATCATAGCACGTAGATGTCTATTCCCAGTCCTGTTATGCACCAATTAATAAGCGTATAGAATAAAATGTTGCCTATGAGATTTTCAGGGTGTGTGCAACACCTACCCTACACCAGCCCTGACTCTCCCCAACGCGCGTTCATCAGTTAAACGTAATAATGTGAAAATGCCAATCGGTAAATTAATTGCACGCAGGAATAAAAATATTTATCGATAAAATTTGCTAGCTTGTGATTCCGCCCAGGAACTACTTACTGTCTGTTGAACACTTGCAGAAGAAGCGAATTTCGTAGTCGGAGCAGAGGCCGTCCTGTTGCTGAAGGTTCAGGCAGCTTACGCCATTCTTCTCACACGTAACCCCAATATCATCTATACACAGATACACACAAAACACAAAATATTTGATTGCAATTGAAAACTACAATATTTATTATTAGATACTATGCGGCTTTCTGCCACTAATAATTTTTTACACTTCGACAAAGATCTGGTGGCATTTGAGTTTCACAGACGTTAGCTGGCATGTGTACCTGTGTCCAGGTAGTTGAGTTTGGTGACTGCGTCGCGACACTGCACGATCTCTACCTCATCTTCCGAGCAAAACTTAAAGTGCTTGCGTATCTCCTCGACACCTTCCCTCTCCTGGAATCCAGGTTTTGTGTAGGGGCTACTGAAGTTAAGCCACGCAGTCCAACCAGGTGTGCACGTGATTCCACTAGCTGCAAGAAGGGCACGATATGAAACTGTGTGATAGCAGCGGAAACAGAATGAGAGGGTCACAGCGACCATTGAGCTTGTCTTCAGTAAGTATCATCGTGCTACACGACTACAGTTGCATTATGATCAATAGCTTCTACATTCAAAATAAATATGGTATTTTTATGCCCAATTTTATATGCTTGAATTATTTTATTGGGTTTGAACACGGAACGAATATTTTGGATGGTTGCCATTACAATACTAGAAGAATTTACATGCTACCAATCTATAAACGAAATTAATATTTACTATCTATTGTGGTCCATCCTGGTACTTTTTCTGAAATTAAGAATAGCGTTAGATTAGATGTACTAGTTATTTTAACAGAGGGCAAACATAGGCAAATAAGAAGGTAAAACTTAGTTTTCACTGTGTTGTTATAGATGTTATTTTCTGGATGATATGTTCGTCTTGTCATATTGTCGCTTGCGAATGAATTGAATATCGCTCGCTTACGCCTTACATATTGCTAGCAGTGAGCCGAGAATTTTATTTTATTTGTCTAATAAGTCATTATATACTTGTCGTAGTTGGTGGTTTTGTGGTTGTCCGAGGATCTGCAAAACAAAAAAGAAAGAAGATTTATTACAATTATTATTAAACTAATAACATATCGTATGTAATGCACAAATATATATAATTCAATATACAATTCAGTTTCACCTACACACACAGACACACACACAGACACACACACAGACACACACA